GGCTACAGTCGCTGACCTTTACGCTTGCTGGACGAAAAGGTCTTTAAGAGTTCATTTCTTTGAGCATGGATAGCTCGATAGAACGTAAAATATTAGAATGGAAATTGGAAATTAGTTCAAATTTTGATAACTCTTTTATTTGTCGTATAAATAAAATTTTGCAAAAATATCAATTGCCAAAAGCAGAAGAAATTATGGAACATCCTCCATCAAAATATATGTGGAAAAAACAATTGAAAACATCAATAAATGAATACTGGTCTTCAATTTGGACAATAGAATGTAACACAAAGTCAACACTTAGACATTTATCTCTTCAAAAAAATCCGGTCAATAATCCACATAACATTTGGAAATGTGTTAGAAATAACCAATATGACATAAAAAAGGCAGAATTCAAATGTAAGCTAGTAACTGGTACCTACATGCTCCAAAGTACTAGGGCAAAATTTAGTAAAAATGCTATTCAACCAAATTGCAAGCTATGCAATGAATCTGAAGAAACCTTGGAACATTTCCTACTACATTGCTTAAGTCTATCTGATGTTAGGCAGCGATATATGGATAAATTATTCAAAATGCTACGAGAAATAGAAAGGGGTGGTACAACAAATGTTATTAATAATGAACTATTACTCAAAATTATATTAGACTGCTCAGCACTAGACATAATGAGTAATCAACCAATAGACAAGTTGCTAGATATAGAAAGGAAGACACAAGATGTATGCTACCATTTACACATGAAGCGTACACAACTTTTATGTGATATCAAGTGACATGAAAATATAACAGTAATATTAAATATAGTCTGAACAGTCTGCATGGGATGCCAAGCTAACTGGTTCAGTCTATAAATATCAGCATAAAAGATAATGCTATATAATTTTAACATTTGCCTTGGCAGGGCACCTATTGACTAGAAATCATTAGGTTGTAAAAATTTTTATTTATTCATATTGGTGAATCAAAGTGCCGTAATTTGTGATGTGTGAATAATATTTTTTTTTTTTTTTTTTTTTTTTTTATTAATATCTTTTAATAAATCATCAAAGACATTATAAACTTTTATTTTATTCACTTTAACTAACTAATTTTATTTTTAAATTATATTTTTCATATCGTAAATATAAAAATATGCGCTAGAATGCATCTTGCTTTTGAGAACCAGCTTTGAGAGTTGAAACCAGACACAAGTAGTTGCCGTTCAGCTAGATGCTTTTCTATTGAGGATTCCATTCCACATATTTTATTGTAGATATTTATGACAGCTTTATGTATAGTTCCTTGTATTGGAATGACTCCTGTCATAGTATAGACAGCTGCATTTTTCATGAATACTGTAGTTTTCGACTGTACTTATCATTGTCTGGAGATCTGTAGGTGAGTTTGCAACCAGGGCAACATCATTAGCACAGGTTGGTGAACCACAATATATATTCCCAATGTAAGAACCAAGACCGCTATTTTCCAGTTGGTCTAGAATGTCATTTATATATACTTTATAGAGTTCGGTGCTGAGTATTTCACCTTGTCGTACTCCTTAGTGAACAGGGAATGAATTTGATATTAAACCATTCCATTTGACGGAGGTTATGACATAAGTACTAAGTTGGCGTATTAAGAGCCAGAGTGTTCCACCTACTCCTGATAAGAAGAGTTCTCTATCTGTATCTGTATCTGTATCTATATCTGTATTAGGAAATCCCTCCTTCAAAGGAGCACTTCGTTATGAATAAGTTTTTCAAGAAGTCCATATACACTTGGTTTGGGAATATAAGAGATAAAAAAACAAATAAACATTTCTGTTGTATTATTCCTCCACTGTCTTGGAGAACCGTTGCATTGATTGGTGATCGCTTTATACATAGATATACTAGCTATTATGTCTATGCTTTACACAACGGAATATAAAATCTACTTTATGAAATGAAACACCATCCAATAGCAAATAATAAAAGAACTACATGTATTTCTTTGATATTAATAATCAATGATTTTGTTATATACTTGTCAAAAAGAAAACAGTGCGTTAAATTGGTCAAAACATAAGTAATTTGATAGATAGTTTTAAAGATGTGCTTCAAGGGTCCGTCCTTGACCCCATATTATTTAATATTTTTATTAATGATTAATGATGTATTTTTGTTAGTAAATAATGCAGATGATAACAGACAAGTCTTCAGAAAAGGTTTTCTTCTTCTTTGCAGATAGTTACATAGTGTAAACTCAATACGTTTGATCCATATCATTTCAATTTTAGCTCATAAAATTTTTAAATGACTTGAGAAATCAGCGTATAGTAAAAGAGTATTCCTGGTAATGGAAATGATATGGATCAATCGTATTCTATCACTTCAATTTACTAGGAGCACGATCGTATCAATCGTATTGCATTGATATGATCGTGCCCCACAGTTGATCAACTCAATCAATTCTATTACTTCAATTTACTAGGGGCACGATCGTATCAATCGTAATCAGTCGATACGATTGTGCCACGTTTGATCAACTCAATCGATTCTATTACTTCCATTTACTAGGAACACGATCGCATTCAATCGATTCTATTACCTTCTTGTTTGAAATGAAATAGAATGAAATAGTTGAGTCGTTTTTTCTGTTTCTGTATTTCATTTTATATTGAAGAGTTAATTGATCTTAATTGCATCGGCAGCTGATGTTTGGAAGAGTTGATTGAATCGACAGCCGATGTTCAGTCGTGATCGATCTTTATAATCGTTACGATCGTGCCTTCCATATTATTTTGAAGAGTTGATTGAATCGACAGCTAATGTTCAGTTATTATCAATTGTGTCTCTACTTCAGTTAGATGAGTTGATTGTAAAGACATCTAATATACAACTGTAACAATTGAGTCTCCTTTAAATTTGTCATTTTGATGTGTTGATTGATTCGGCAGCAGATGTTAAATCGTTATCGATCGTGTCATTCGTGATGATTGAAAGTCCTTTCAAATTTTGATGAATTGATGATTTGAATGAATAGACAACAGTTCAACTGTTAATATTGAGAAGTACAATTTGATTTCGGAATGCCTTGCGACTGCTTGCGGCCAATCACAAGTACGGATTCTTATAAACATACACCTTATGTAATTACAAAATGAATTTGTAAGGGAAGACCACGTCTAATCATTTTTATCTACTTATTATCAACGATTTTGTTATAACCATATCATTTGTAATTGATTGTTTTAAGTTCAATATTTTGTTTATTATTAAATATGACGATAACCCCCCTGCTTAGCAATGTAAGCCGTCGTTGGCTTTATTTTAAAGTATCTTTTATATTTGATATACCGTATCACGATGGGAAATGGTAACAGACTTTTCGGATTTTTTTCTTCCATTCCAGACTAAACGTGTCAATCAGCAACGGACTTTTCGTGTTATAAAAAAATGACGCCGTATCAGAAATTGGACTTGGGAGAAATAAGAAGTTGTAAGTCTCATTAAAAATGTGTTCACGGAATGTCCCAATAGTATCTCTGTTTATTATTTCTATTCATTAAATGCCTTCAAATAGCTTCAAAAAGATCTACATAAACACAAGAAAAGACCGAATCAGCCCGAGGTAGTCCTATTTTTCAAGAAATGTTTTGATCCACCTTATCGATTGGTTGGTATTTCTTTGACACAAAACGTACGGGTATGAGTTATGCTCGTTGTTCATGTTGTCGAAGGCCGTTTTTTTTTACCTAACTTAATTTAATTGTCCTTGGTCACAGGTGAATAGTTTAAAAGAGAACGAATGATGTATGATTTGCCTATGTAAATATTTTCATGTTTTCTATATATACACCGTGCTATGGTGTCCCACGGTCCAAACAGCTAGGTCCCCAAAAGTCCGACGGCCCAAACAAATTCCAAACAGTCCCTCGGCTCAAACATGTTCCCAATGATGCCATCAGACGTCAGAAAAAAATCGGAATTTTAACCAGACGTGTTATCGAATGCACAAAATGTAAATTAAGTATCCGTCTTTAGATAAGACTGTTGGAATAAAAGATTAATGGAAGACCAAATTGTGCGTAATTGTGTTAAAATAGCTTTTCCGTTCATTCATATTATCTGTTATGAATGTTCAATGAGCCACTCTGCTCTATTATTCTCAGCAATTATCTGGAGTAATAGGACGCAATGACGACATTTGCAAATATTTTCATTAAGAATTAGTTTATCAGCCAATATCCTTGTTCTGTAAATGATGCTTTCAAATAATCTGTTCAAGTTAAAACTGTGATGTTTAGCATGAGGAACGGTAGTATTTGTAGAATTGGATTAAATTAATATCGGAATTACTTCTTTAAGTTCACTATTATTTGTGTGTGAGTAAAAATTAATCCTATTTATTTGATTTACTTCGTTTTATATATAATACATAATCAGACGTCATAGTCCTTTCGCGAGGAAATAAGATGCTAGTATATTTTAGAATACCAAAAAATTAATATGAATATAAAAAGAGGCAAAAGATACCAAGGGAGACCTTCAAAACTAACAAGTCGAAGAGAAACTGACAATGTCATTGCAAAACACGGAAAGGTAAGCCGATTCTGCTTCACTAATTTCTCCTGGTAAGTACAAATTCGATGTTAAGTCTCACATTCGGTACTGTCACAATCGAGGAAAAGAGGAAGGGATTGTTGTAACGACAATTGAAACACATCCGTGGTCATCTGTGTCACAGATATTCCATAACGGTCAACCAGCTTGTGAAGACGTCAGTAAAACTTTCGAAGGGATTTCAAATATACCATGGAAGAAATCCAACAATATAACACTAGAGTTATCTAATAACCTTTTTTCAATTTTTTTTCAGCCAGGAACAACATGTGCAAAAATAAAAGTTACATGAACAATGATATTATGAACGCCTTAAACACAACATTTTTAAACAAAGATATAATTCTTTGGATTTACAACGAAACTCATCTTCAAAGGCGTCTTCCAGCTATGATTTTTTCTGGATTTCTAATGCTGGTCGGTATCATAGGTAACACACTAGTTGTATATGCTTACGGAATGAAATTCAAGAAGTCATCAGCTAACTTTTTCATTTGTTCTCTAGGAGTAATAGATCTAACATGTTGTGTTTTAAGCATTCCTTTTGAGATATTTACGTTACGCTTCCATTATGTAAATTTTAATGCAGTAGCCTGTAAATTTTTTCGGGGAGTTGGCATGGCTGTTTATATTGCAGAAGGATTCATGCTTGTATTCATCGCTTTCGACAGATATTACAAGGTTTGCAGACCATTACAAGTAAGCTACATGTCAAAATCAACTACTCATCTCGGTATTATTGTCTGTCTAGGACTGATATTTGGATGGCCGGCAATATTTGTGTTTGGTGAACATTCTGCGAAGACCACTTTTCCTGACATTCATGGTAAATCCTGTATGGTAGACGACAACCTTAAAACCACAATATATCCTACCTTGTTTTTCTGCAATCTTCTTCTTGTTTTTATTGTATGTTTCAGTTTAATAGTTATACTTTATGGACGAATATTTTATTCAATTCTAAGGTGGAAAAAAGAGCGGGATATTTTGAAGATGAAATATGCAGGACCAGAAATTGGGTTTAATCGTAGTCCGTCTAATTCAAGTTTGAGCTCATACACTTTGTCGGCATTATACAGTCGGAAAGTTGAGTATCATATAAATTTACAGTTGAATAATGATAACAATGGACAATGTGAGAATACCACTAAATCTTACTCTCGTTTCAGTTTATTAGAGAAGTTCAATACTTCTATTAATCAGACTCAGACCATCAATATGAAGATGATTTCAAGAAATCGGAAGAACACTCGGATGGTGAAAACAACTCTTATATGTGTAACAGTAACCGTTACGTTTATCTTGAGCTACGTACCTTACCTAACGTTACAAATCTTACTTAAAACAAACCAACTTACAGAGGAAAGCGAGATTCTTATGCTACATCAAATGATAGAGGTAGCAGCCAAGAGTTACTGCATCAATAACGCATCAAACGCTATCATTTATAGCATTTTTAATCCGAAGTTCAGACAGTCTTGTAAAGAAATGTTTTATCAAGTAAAATTTTAAATTATTTTATAGTTTGAATAAACTGTATTCATATTGTAAACAAATATAAGTATATGTTGTATATCCGTCGTGTAAATTGATTTTCTTAGCTTTTCTTTCTAATCGGAAAGTTTATGTCTTGGAAAGGAATAGTAAAGTTTTTAAAGGACATTTACATCTATCAGAAGTAAGTTGACGATTTCAATCACATGGTTTCTTGTTAGTTATGTCTTGCTGATCATTTTTGCCATTAAAGTTTCTATTTATCCATTATACTTTTCAAGATAATTACCAAAAAGCATGAAGAACAATTACTCCTCTGAAGAGCCGAATGCCGATTTCGATCATTTGCCTCATCGTAGATATTTTTCTTTCTCACCCTTTTGCTGTTTAAGTTTTCTCTTTATTTGTTATATTTTCCAAGAAAATGCCAACAAAGATCCAAAAATGGGTATAACGCATGATTTAAAGACAATTACTCCTATAAGGAGTTCCTTGACGATTTCCGTCACGTCGTCTTACTTGTAGATCTTGGTTTATTAATTATTTTGCCTGGTGCAGTTTATTATAGATTTCTAAATAATAGCAGGAGTCAAAAGACGATTTCAACAAAGAAAAGTTATTTGTAGATATTCTCTTGCTGATCATTTCTGCTTTTTGTAGATTTTCTCCATATAATATCTATTTTTCTTAACAAGGTTACATATATAAGAATATCTTTAAGAATTAAATAAAATATGAAAACAACGCCTATTCTCTGCCTAAAGCGCTTTTCTGGACTTACCTTCACCAGGAACGCTGAAAGCTGAATATTTGAAAGCCAATGATGTACAAGGATATCCATTTAAGAGGGAAAACTTCTTTACGACGTCAATTAACGATTTCGGGCCTATAGAACGAATCGTAGACCATGAGTTGCAGATAGATTTGATTTGACGATTTTTCTCCATTTGTTTTGATTTGCGAGAAATACACCAAAAAAACTTAATTTACCCCAGTGTTCTATATTAACCAACAACAGTCACTTTTTTATATGTCGGGTACACCAAACGCGATACGATATTAAAATAGAATGTGCTCTTAATGTCAAGGAACAGAAAATTTACTCTGCAATAGATTTTGGTAAAATTCAGTCAAAGTGTTTTTCTTGGTGAAAATACCACAAAACGTCGAAATAAGCGGCGTACTAAGCTGAAAAACATCATATGTACGCATGTACAAACTATATTTTTCTTAAAAGAAATCCTCAAATTATATTTCAGATCATAATAGAAATATATACATTATTTTTTTTATATTTAACTCAAATTCAACATGAAGAAGCTATAAACAAAAAAATCTGTAACATTTACTGAAACTTGGCTTTAGTCATCGGTAAGAAACATTATGCCATTTCGAAACCTTTGAAAGTCACAAGTATTGCAAAGCAACGCTTACATGATAGGGATAGAGAACGCGCATTAGGTATAATATTAATAAATAGATAAATAGATAATCTTTATTTCAAGAGGATAATCTCATTAGTTAAAACTAATCTTCCTGACAGTCCTCAAAATAATAATAACATATACATAAAGTACATACAATAGTATAATGATATATACAAAGTACATACAATAGTATAATGATATATACAAAGTACATACAATAATGTAATGATATATACACAATATACAATTGTATAAAGATATTAATGAAAAAGCATATTAATCTGCCTTCTTCATGAAAAATTGTAATATTTCGCTTTAAAAGATGCAAGTGTATTACTTATCTCAACCAGAATATATAAAAGTTTTGTTCAAAAAATTTGTTTTTGGCTTCGGAAGTTTCATCCGCTGAACGTAAATTAAAAATTTTGATTATCAGTAAAATGAGAGTTTTCTCGTAAATAGTTAGGAACCATATCCTTTAATGATTTAAATACAACTATTGCCTTTTGATATTGAATTCGTTTTTCCATATTCAACCAATTCAAACTATCAAACAATAAAGTGGATGATGTCATTATGTCAGTTTCTACTATAACAGATTTCTTTAATAACTTATTAAGTATATTAATTCCTCTTTCATTACAACTACCAGGTATATTGCAACAATAATCAAACAATGGCAGAATATAAGCATTAGAATAAATACTACGTATATGCAGAGGTAAATACTTTCGTATCTTTTGTAATAAATTGATTCTATTTGATACTGTACATGACAATTTATCTATTTGTTCATTCCAATTTAGGTTATTGTCGATGTATAAACCAAGAGGTTTTGACAATCTACAGTCTCTAACCGTTCATCTGAAATATAGATATCTAAATTTTTCCCATTGAATAAATCCTAGGTATTGAAACTTTTATCCGTCCATTTTTGTACTTTTTCAGATTTTTTCCGTCAACAGAATACAATAAATCAATTCTTTTATGGTTTTCAATCAATGTTCCTACAGACTGAAGATAAACATTTAGCGTGAAGTCGAGAAAAATTAACTAGATGATCTAAAGAGCATGTGTCGCTCACCTAGGTCTATGTGGTGTCTTCCTCCTATTCCCACTTTTTAAAAATCACTACACTGTTTATTTGTAATATGTTTTTTCTTCTTCAAAGAATGACCTAAAAAATAAAGAATAAGTCAGATAAATAGAAGTGAGATTAAAAAATCATTGAATTTGTAAACCTAAAAAAATAACTGCTAACAGATGACAACATTGATGATGAAGGTACATTTTACTCCTGTCCAAGCCTATTCTTCAAACTTTACACATTTTAAGCAATGGTTGACGACGCAATGTATCCACTGGTACATGTACACAGTTTACTTCCAGCCAAGAGCGAACTAGTATACACAAGGTTCCTGACTTTACTCAAAGATGTATGTCACCAACTACAACTTCAGCCTACCACTATCTTCCTGGACTATGAAGTCGCCATCCGAATTGCAGCATATAATGTATTTCCTAACATCAACGCAAACCACTGTTTTTCCGCTACACACAATGCATCTGGTGAAAAACACAAGGAACAGGGATTTAGGTTCCATACAAGAAAGACAACAACATTCATCAACTAGTACACCCTGCCGCTGTCCTTCCGCGTGTACCTACTGCTGAGGTCGAAGATGCGTGATTTAAAGCCCTAACCGACATAGATCAGATTGATACTAACATCAACTACACGCCCTTTACAGACTATGTAACAAAATACTGATGGGACCATTACACAACACAGGGACTGAGGACTACACATCATGTAGAGGGATGGAAAGCAAGCTGAAGAAACATGTCCAGCACCCACATCCAAACATCTTTAAACTCATAAAACTATACTGAAACATGAGGAAGCTATGCCCTGATCATGATCCAGTATGCAGCCGGTGTGAAGAGAGTGGCCAAAAAAAATGGTATGTCGAAATGAACAACAGATTAGAAGAACTTATGGATAGATATATCAACCAGGAAGTCACAATATATATATACAGTGAATTTCTAATGTGTGTGCTACAATGTGTGATTTGTTTTAATGCTGTTAACTTGTATTGTTTGTTTCATATTATAATGCTTGCTTGAATCTACTGTTGAATTTGTGTTATAAAAGAAATAAAATTATTTAATTATATTTGTTTCCATTTCTTTCATATTTATTTAAATTAAAAACACAGAATTCATACACATACAAAAATAACCTATTACCTATCCAAAAAGCACTTGTCAATTAATGTTGATTAACCAATGTTTATACAGTATAATCCTTTGTTTGCACAAGTTTTCCCCCTATTCCCACATGAAATTTTAACTTTTTTTACCAGCTTTATAAAAGGTGGGAATAGGAGGAATGAACCGTCTGTGTGTATAATCAACGATGACTCTTTCCAACATTGTAGACAAGAATAGAATTCATGACAAACATTTCGTTATTGATGATCAGTTTGTCTGTTTAGTTTCTGTCCATCTTCTTTAGTTTTTACCCAAAACACAAAAGAGGGTATAAAAATTCTCATTTAAGGGCAATCACTTCTATAAATATGGCTTTTTACGCACCTGGGACTTACATGAGTTATAAAGTCTCTTGGTCCCAGGTTGTCTATTCCTTCATTTTTTTTAAATATCAAAGACTCCTAGCTAATTTTATTTTTAAAGAAACCATTACTTTATTAAAATGCTTATTGTATTTCGATACAATGCGAACAAAATTCTTTCATGTGTTCATTAAAAAGACACAACTAGTATATATATTTGTTTAGGGGCCAGCTCAAGGACGCCTCCGGGTGCGGGAATTTCTCGCTGCATTGAAGACCTGTTGGTGACCTTCTGTTGTTGTCTGTTCTATGGTCGGGTTGTTGTCTCTTTGACACATTCCCCATTTCCATACTCAATTTTACATTTTGTTTTATGGTGTATAATAGGAGTGATTTATATGTTAGGTATTGACATCGACAGGACACGTGCTTTGAAGAATTATTTGTGAAATAAATGTATGTGCACTTATAAAGACACCCAATCTGTGGTGAGTGAAATACTATTACAAAAAAAAGTAATACAATTATCTAGTATGTAATAAAATTATGTATAAAATATAAACTATAAAATTAACTTATATAAATAATGGCGATTGTTGGTAAATGAAGGTGTAAACAATACACTAGTTCAAAGTGTGCCTTTCGTATTCAAATGATAACTATAACTATAATACCGAGGCACAAGTTATTTAAAAAAAAATCAAGATCTTGATTATATCCAATTATAATCATGTTTTGGACATCAAAGCTAAGCATTAGATCTATGCACAGAGATATTAATCCTTTTATTTCTTC